TGAATCAGACACCGCTTCTGCGTCTCGGAGCACGTGATATATTATAAGGAGTAATGATAAGTTTTATGAAATGTAGTGAAGTAAAAAGTATGATCTTTTGCTTTGGAACGTAGTGAAGTAAAAGTAAAAGTTACTCAAAAAAAAAACGACTCCAGTAAAGTACAGATACTTGAAAAATGTACTTAAGTACAGTAACGAAGTAAAAGTACTTCGTTACTGTCCACCACTGATTAATATGTTCTGTTTTTCCTCTATTATCAGCGGTTTTCAAACTGTGGTGGGACATGTAAGATATGAGAGTGGTGCTGTGTTTCAGAAATTTGGAACATTTCAGAAATATGGAAAATATATGTTCTCAAATACAATCAAAGTTTCTTGATGCGAATAGTTGGTGTTTACATAAAGTAGTTTTGACATGACTGACCACAAGTGTCTTTGTGTCTTTCATGTGCGTATTTCATGTATCACTTTCAAATAGCAATGTTACCCTGCATTCTGATCCAGTGCCAGATCACCACACCCCCTTATTGAAGCTGCTAGCTGATTGGTTGCATCATTAAGACCAAACCCACCCACATCCACAACCATAATTGGGAATCGGAATTCGGCATAACATACAGCACAATCTATGTAGTCCGATTCATGAACAAATGAGTCGGTTCTTTTAATGAATCGTTTGAAAAAGGTACCCTGCGTCTCAATGTTCATACTATCCATCCTAAATAGTATATGTGAGATTAAAATAAGTGTGTCCCAAAGCATAGTATGTTGAAAGGAGTATGCCAAAAGTCCCCGGATGGTCTACTATTTCAGGTCGATTTTTGAAGTGTGGATCCGTGCACACTCTAATGGCTAATATTACCCACAAACCATTGCACTTTGATGAATGATTCGGTTGAGAACTACAAACATGAATAAAAAGCGTTAAAAACTACAAACATGGTGGATGTGCGCGACTGACGGTTTAGTAGAGAGGTTTAGATAAAGGGGTTTGAGTTACTAATAATCAACATTTAACCTGGTAAAGTATTTATTTAATGTTATCTGTGTTATATTTCATCTTCAACAGCAATGTAAACTTTTATAAACATCCGTTTGGTCGTTAACTTTTAAATGCATCATTATGCAGAAAATATGAGCGGAGTTCTCCGCATGACATTTAACCTGGTAAAAAAATATTTATTTAATGTTATCTGTGTTATATTTCATCTTCAACAGCAATGTAAACTTTTATAAACATCCGTTTGGTCGTTAACTTTTAAATGCATCATTATGCAGAAAATATGAGCGGAGTTCTCCGCATGAAGACCCGCGGCTTGCAGATCAACTTGCTACTTCTTTTCTCTCTGATATGGTAGGAAGTTAAATGAAATGAAAAGTGGAGGATATAAACTGTGACAAGATGATTGACAGGCCAGTTCACAGTGACAGGGTGTGTGTACTATGCGACAGAGCGGTCCGTTAAAGACGCAATTGTATGACGTGATAGTATGTCCCAAAGCTTGCCTACTCTTTTACTACACACTCAAAAGTGTGTACTTTTTCCTCACCAAAAAAGTACATACTTTAAGGGCGTAGTAGTATAAGTAGGCACATTGAGACGCAGCAGTAGTTTCCAGTTTGAATCATCGAATGAACGTCAAAATGGCTACTGAATCAAGAAATGACTCACTTGCAAGCTCCATGTCAATGTATCATTAATATAAAATGGTAATTTTTTTTCCTTTCGCATTTGTGTTAGATGTACACCTTTGAGCAGGTCACTGCATTTCGCTGCTTTATCTCGCATGAATGCCGCGTTTTAAGATGCCATGTCAAGATGCAATCAACTTGACATGGCAACTAAAAACAAAAACGCATTTTGTGGTTTTTAACCCATGTCTGAGGCAATATACACTCACTAGCCACTTTATTAGGCACGCCTGTTCAACTGCTCATTAACTCGAATATCTAATCAGCCAATCACATGGCAGCAACTCCATGTGTTTAGGCATGTAGACATGGTCAAGATCATCTGCTGAAGTTCAAACCGAGCATCAGAATGGGGAAGAAATGTGATTTAAGTGACTTTAAATGTGGAATGATTGTTGGTGCCAGACGGGTTGGTCTGAATATTTCAGAAACTGCTTATCTGGATTTTCACCAAAAAAGCAAAATATATATGCTCCTTTATGGCTTATGGTAATGCAATGAAATTGATAAGTAGGCCTACCCAATTTAATTCTTTGACAAGGAAAATGATAATTGATAGAACAAATGCATTTTTCTCATTTCACTGAAGAGGACAATCCACTTGATATGTCTTTCATCAACTTCCTGTTTAAATAGAAAATACATTAAAACAGGACAGAAAATTGCATTTGTCAAAGCATTTTAAGGGATCTTGCAACATGAAATCATATTTATTGTGTAAATACATGATTCTAGTCTAACTTCATGTGATTAATCAAGAAAAAAAAATCAAATGAAATGGTTATTATTTTTTGGCTCCATTCTCCATTTAATTATCCAATGAATTCCCAATGGATAAAATCGGGTCCCACATTTTTCTTCTTCTTTTTCACCCAGAAATGCATCACATTACGGAAGTCAAAAGGTTGCAAACGCTGTTCGGCTGACTTTAATCAGCACTGAGTGCATTGCATGTCATGACTGGTTAATTTCACTTTTATTCAAAATTCTGGAAACTTATTGTGAATCTTAAAAATTACCCATGAAATCACCTGTTGTTTGCATAATAAGACAGAGTGATGGTTTTCCAAAGACCAGTTATGGTTGTGGTTAAACATCTCCATTGGCGCCTACAACCAGCATTCATTGCTTTAAAGGCACATATTAAATCAGTCAGGTGTGTGTCTAGGTTGATGTCTGCATATGTAGATTGTACTCCAGCCATCTTCTTCTATTATGTTGAATTATTCTGCTCCTTCTCAAGGTCTATAATGAGCCACAGAGCCAAGCATCACAGTGGGTCACTCTCTTATCCTCTCACCCTCCTCGACACGGCTCTATCTCCCCCTAAACATGACAGATGAGCGGGACAGCCGCTGCTCTGTGAAACCACTGGACTTTTCCATCAGTCTAGTGCCTTATCAACACCCAGCGACAGCACTGCTGGAGCGATTGCATTTATCCCATTTAGATAAGCCCAAGATGCTGCCATTCTCTGTGAGAGTGAATTAGAGATGGCCGCCGCTATCTCTAGTACCTGATGTGCCGTTCCAGACCTCAGAGGCCACGGGCCAGTCGCCGATACTGTCAATGAGCCTGAGAAGAGGCTGCGAGTCGTGCTGCTCAATCAGAACTGCAGGGGGAAGCAGAGAGATGAAACTAAATTGGATTTATACACAAAATCAGCATAAAAGAAACGTCATTTTCAGTCAAATATTAAACAATTATATATTATTATTTATATATTATTAGAGTTTTATTAATATCATAAATTAGCTTTTTTAAAATTAGCTTAATTTTTCGCAATTTTGTCATGTTCTTTTGTCGTATTTATTAATTGTGTGTGTGTTTCTTTTTAATATTAGTATTCAGGTTTCATTTATTTTTATTTCAACTTTAGTTTAAATTTGAGTTGTTATTTATTTCCAGTAATTTTAGTGCTTCAACGTATAATTTTGGTTTAGTTTAAGTTTTCCATCTAATATTCATATTTTGTTTCATTTTAGCTTTATTTCAGTTAACAAATATGTTCAATTAAATAATACTTGTAGTTTAGTTTCGATGCATTAAATAATAGTTTTAGTTTTGGTTATCCATAATAACCCTAAAACCAATCAGCTTCGAGATAAATTATAACATTATACGTTTAATTCAAGCCAATTGAAGAAAAAGCAAAAGCAAAAAGTTCAACTTTTGAACTCATCCCATAAAGCATTGCCAATTTTTGTAGCAAAATCAAAAATGACGATGCAATATAAAACTCATTGATTATAAAATACAATATATTCAAAGTTCAGTATACAAACATATACAAATGTAAAGTTTTGGAGAATGTCATTTGCATGCTATATTTGCAAGTTGTAAACAAAGATTATTGTAGTACGTAGCTTTTTCAGTCTTTCTACTTCCAAATTTCATGTGTTACTTGCCATTTCTATGTAAATGTTTGTGAAATTTACAAGAAATTTCTGACGTCAACTCTAATCATAACAGCATACTAAAAATCAGAACATCAACTATATAATATAGAGTATATGTATATCACAGTATTGTGTACTCACTCTCATTCATGCATGAGCTGTAGAGCGTTTTGGCTTTCTTGAAGGCATCTCTGTCATCCTTACTTTCCATCTCCAGAACTCCTGTGCAATAATAGATCAGCACCAACCAGATAACAATGTCTACACAAAACTATAATACACATCGTGGTTACGTGAAGTTGACGTAACTGACCCTTGAGTACGATCTCCAGCTCATCTCTCAGGATATTGAATACGCTGTGAAGTGAGCTGGTTTCGGGAATGACGTGACGCTCTATCCAGCCTCCGCATGCGTACTGATAGAAGTTCTGGCACGGCTCCACGCTGGGGTCCATGTTCTGGAGCAGTCGGGCCGCTGTATCATTGAACAAGAAATCATTTCAGATCTAGAATATCATGAAGTTTCAGTTGAAGTTTTGAGGTGGTGTAAAGTGAAAGCTTTCAGACGTCTGGTCTTACCGGCAGTGACACACTGTGGGGTTGTACAGACATTGCTGTCAGCGTTTGATCGATATTTCAGCCCTGTTGTGATGTGGTGAGATAAATAACATCCATGAGGTTAATAACACAACTGAGATCATGTGACATAATCCACTCAAACTGCACGTGCAGACTGACGTTCTACAGAGAGAGCTTACTGCTTCAGCTTAACACTGGAAAACTGGAATAATATAATGCAATTTACTGAAACAAAGTTGCCTTATATCTTTCTCTTATCAATCAAAACTTAGGCACATTTTGCAAACCTGACACTGGTTGGTTTGAATCACTAATAGTACTCGTGACGGTGCTTATGTGTAGTATATATACTGTACATAATATATACTATGTGCAATAATTTAATATTGTACAGTATATGGAGTGATTATAAAGGATTTGTGGCAGGACAAAACTCATAAAAAAAATAAAAAAAACGGCACAATGAAATGAATGATGTGGATAAAATATGCCAAACTACTCAAAATGTGATTTATGAACAACTTCACAGCATACTGTACCTTTTGAAGATTCATTGATGTTAAAACGCTCTGAAATATAAGAGAAAAATACAAGATCTTAAAGAATGATATGTGTTCAGTGAGAACCTTTCGATACATCAGATATTCTTGTAGGTAATTTTATGTTTTATATGTTTTAAATTATGTGCAAATGTATGAGATATCATTTTATGATATCTCTATACACTTCAATTATGAATAAATAAATATGTTATAATTATTATAAAACAATATTAATTATAAAATATATGAACATTTATATTAATAATTAATACTAATATTAAGCATTTTACTTTTAATACTATGTTAACTCATATAAATTATTTATTTTGTATAATTCATTAATATTCATTTTAAATATAATTTAGCAATTAAAATAAACATAATTTAACACTAATTATAAATAAGTATAATAATTATATTAATATTAATATTTTATAAATATTAAAAATATTTTATATATGTATTAAACAGTAATATTAATGATTGATTATGAAAATCATTGATATTTATTTTAAACACAATTTTAATAATTTTCAAATATAATTAAACACTAATTATCACACAATTGTAATAAATAATTTATATTATTCCTTAATATTAATTTAAAATATTTTTCTGGTTTTCTAGAGACTTCTATAAAAGAAAGGTTGCGTAAGCTGCTCCACGTGGGATATAAACAAATGAATGCAGGTTATCTCTTAATGTATTACAACGATCTTGAACATGTTTGGGTCTTTTGGGGGGAATTGCAGCAGAAATCGGCTGTTTCCCACCTCTCAGAGCTGAAGTGTAGAGCATAATGAGTCCAGCCAGAGCGCAGCTCATCAGAAGCACAATGACAGACAGTCCGATCTCCACTACAGTCCAGCGATGCTTCCTCGGTTTAGTGCTTTTCTCCATGATATCCATTTGGCTCTCTGATTTTCCCATTCTTGGAGCTGTGGAATAGAGTATTGAAGTGTTGGTGGAGAGGACCGAGTGCGTGCGTAATTGTGTCTGAGCGCAGAAAGCCACAGGTGGAGCATCAGTGCATCCTGTTTTCGACTTTTTTCTCCAAAAAAAACATTTTTTTTTTTTATGTGGAAGCGGTGTAGTTACTGAATAAGAGAGTGATATATTTACACACTTCAAACAATGCTCCAAAGCGACCCGAAATAGGCTACATAGCTTTTGTCCAATGAATTTAAATAAAAATAAAGACGCTTTTAAGAAGATTGCACTCACACAGATGAATCTAGAGGTTAAATGTTTGGTTTATAAATTACAAACTTCACCTTTAAAATCAACGTGAATTATCATTCACAACCCATTTTATTTTGATAATAAGATGTATTTTTAAATAAAATGACGGATTCAATATGAAAGGGGGCGGGACTTGAATTAATCCATCGATTGATTGGATTGTCCGGAGGCCATTGTGCCATGGGATAAGAAAAAAATAAAAAGACAATTGGGACTTTTTTTAAATCTCAGAATTCAGACTAATGTATTACAACGATCTTGAACATGTTTGGGTCTTTTGGGGGGAATTGCAGCAGAAATCGGCTGTTTCCCACCTCTCAGAGCTGAAGTGTAGAGCATAATGAGTCCAGCCAGAGCGCAGCTCATCAGAAGCACAATGACAGACAGTCCGATCTCCACTACAGTCCAGCGATGCTTCCTCGGTTTAGTGCTTTTCTCCATGATATCCATTTGGCTCTCTGATTTTCCCATTCTTGGAGCTGTGGAATAGAGTATTGAAGTGTTGGTGGAGAGGACCGAGTGCGTGCGTAATTGTGTCTGAGCGCAGAAAGCCACAGGTGGAGCATCAGTGCATCCTGTTTTCGACTTTTTTCTCCAAAAAAAACATTTTTTTTTTTTATGTGGAAGCGGTGTAGTTACTGAATAAGAGAGTGATATATTTACACACTTCAAACAATGCTCCAAAGCGACCCGAAATAGGCTACATAGCTTTTGTCCAATGAATTTAAATAAAAATAAAGACGCTTTTAAGAAGATTGCACTCACACAGATGAATCTAGAGGTTAAATGTTTGGTTTATAAATTACAAACTTCACCTTTAAAATCAACATGAATTATCATTCACAACCCATTTTATTTTGATAATAAGATGTATTTTTAAATAAAATGACGGATTAAATATGAAAGGGGGCGGGACTTGAATTAATCCATCGATTGATTGGATTGTCCGGAGGCCATTGTGCCATGGGATAAGAAAAAAATAAAAAGACAATTGGGACTTTTTTTAAATCTCAGAATTCAGACTCAGAATTGCAAGATGTCAACTCGGAACTCTGAGAAAAATGTCAAAGTTTATATCTCACAGTTCCGACTTTTTTGTCTTAGAATTGCAAGAAAAAAAATCCAAATTGTGAGATAAAAAGCCGCAATTATTTTATTTTGTTATTTTTTTAGTCTGTGGTGGAAACTGTCTTCCATAGTAGAGTACACACCAGAATTATGCAAATCTGAATGCGAGTTTGCCATAACAATACCAGATTTTCTAATACTGGAGCAAGCTTTTTTTCTTTCTTTTGAATAGCCTGCAGTGATGAATCGTTAACAATAGGACCGAGAATGTGTATTAAGAAAGTAAATAGGACCATTTGATTTCATATTGACTTGAAGACATTAGGCAACCAACACATGACGCAGTTAATGTATATATGCACTTGGTTAATGCACTCAGAAGGAGCAGCAGCTTTGTGCTGGTTTCATTTTTAATGATGGTTAGATTCAAGCAGGGCTATATATGAGGCATTCTAGAGATGTCTCCTACCTCATCACATCATAAAATGTATTTAATCTGCGGAAACCTGGCATGTTTCAGAAATGGTGTTTTGCCTCATATTGGTGTCAGCACTTTTTCTGTGTCTTGGAAGCTGGAAAGTGCTGATAAATTTCCTGTAAAATTTTTAATTTCCTGACTCAATTGATGTCTGAAGGCAAAACAATGATCATAGAAAACAGGCTCATCTGGAAATGAGTAGTTTTTATATTGAGTTTCTTGTGATGTTAGTTTTAAAGCTGTCAGCCAGTGTGCAGAAGGCAAAAATGATATACAGTATGCTTTTGGATTCTTAACCATATTGATAAATACACACAAATACATGACAGTGTGTATGTGTATGCACTACAACATTATTAGAGACATGCGTTTAAACTACTATTTGCACTAAATCCAATTTTTCATATTTTTGATAATATGAAACATATATTTATGCAGTATTATACATAGTATATATTGTCTCTCCCAAATCTTGTGTGTCTGTCCATATCAATAAATTGTATTTCCCACATACACCAAACAACAACATTTTTGCAGGTCAGTTGCATTTTTTAAAGTTCAAATATTCCATGTAGACTGTCAATTAAAACGACACCATGAAAACTTAACATTTAATAATGATAAAAATATTTTTAAATGAAGCGCATGTCACAAATTTAGGCTTGCATGCAATTTTCATTTATCATTTTCATTTATCACTTGAGATGGTGACCAGTACCTCTCCAAACCACTCATTTGCATATACGCATTAAGAAAATTAGAATTATTTTTCTTAGAGAGAAAATTATAGCTTATAGCTATAGAGTCGCATGCAGCAATGCCTTTGATCAAGCAATCTAGTCTAGAAAAAACAGAAAGCAACAGACAAGAAGCTGCATTAATCTAACCAATGACTAAATCACGAAAATCAAGAATAACTGATGGGCAAAATCAATGGAGAAGCATTAATGAAAAGTCCAGCTGTTTGCATCCATCTCTAAAAACAGTCCATAACTCCACCTGTAAACTACAAAGAAACTCTTCAATTCAATTTCAACACAAAACCCCCTCACACTGTAGAATATGCGAAGCCATACCTCTCTGAAGATGGAGTCCTTGTTGGCCCTGTTAGGACGCCTTTCAATTTCCCAAACACCCCTTCTGAGTTCACACCCAGAGCTGGTGTGTGGTGAAATGAATCAGCGTCCGGACAGCTGGATGTCGGAGCGGCTGTCTGTGCTGATGTTCCTCTGACTGACTGACTAACTGACTGAGTGAGGGAGATGCAGAAAAGAGGAAGAGAGAAAGAGAGGGAGGGATGTAAAGGAGGAGGGGCGATCGAGGCGCTATTTTTGCCTGATGTTGGTGGTTTGAAGAAGAATCAAGAGGGGCTTTAAGAAGAGGGACAGATGGATGGTATCAGTAAAATTAAATACATTTATAAAAATATACTTTTTCAAATGACAAATATACTATATATACAAATATGAAATACATTAAATACTACTAGAGTTTATATATATATATAT